TCAGTCCTATCGTATCGACAACTTTCAGAAGGGGATAAAACGCTTTATTTTTCAGATCTCTTAAAGGGTGATAAAGAATTCTCAAAGATATCTAAAGTTAATCATCAATCAGGTAAGAGTTTAAATTACTCTTTAATTAATTACAATATATTTTGATTTCTATATGAATTTATTTTATTAAAACTCGATAAATGGTATCAGAGTCTGACCCAGCCGGAAATGTGCCGACGGGGACGTTGGGCCTCCAAGGGGGGTGGATTGTGATGACCCTGTGGGCGAGTGTGCCGTGAGTGGGTGCGCGAGACACTGACAGGCTACCATACTGGCGAGCTACTGGTGCACGGTCCCACATCGCCTGGGTAGAGAAAATGTGAAATACTTATATGTAAGTGTGTCATTGTTGAGTTTTAATAAAATAAATTCATGTAGAAATTAAAATATACTATACTTAATTAAAGATAATTTAAACTCTTACCTGATTGATGATTAACTTTAGATATCTTTGAGAGCGCTTTACCCCCTTCTGATAGGAAAACCCTTATATATAACAACAATAATAACAATAGGGGGGACGGCTTCTCTACAAACAAGGATATCTAAATCTCCCTTCCTATCATGGAAACTTAGATATCAATGGTTAGAATTAAATCACACCAAATAAGTTGGAAAACCACAATCCAACGGTATAAAACCATACTTCCAATTAGACCACCAAATTAGAAAGTACAACCCAATCCATCAAGTATCAATAATCACATTGCAATCCTATTTTAGAAAACGTAGTACATAGGACCATAAAATAATTTTTTTTATTTAAATATATATATAAAAATTCCAACAATCTCCCACTTGGTTCATGCACTCTAAGTTTTATAAAATGACATTATGGATTGCAACACACTTTATAAAAGTCGAGTGGCCACTCATTTTTATTTAGAAAACACAATTATCGAAATTGATGGATTGAAACTTTAGAACACTCTCCTCCATAAATTTTCTCAATAGTGGATCACGAATGCGTAGACAAGTAATATATTAGTCTAAACAGTTCCATGGTCTCAAAACGGATTCCATCTAGGATTCAAGCAAATATAGTGGTTTTACTGTATTTTATGAGATGTGCAAACTGCATGGGGTCTAAACGCACACCTCACTATCCGTCCTGCTTCATACCATCGCGGTATGTCACTTGAACATATTACAGCAAACCGCCAACCTTCTGTTCAGTGTGAGGGTTTACCGATATGGAGCCAATCCCATATCTAGCCCAAGCTATCCATCCTACTTCATACCATCGCGGTATGTCACCTGAACATATTACAGCAAACCGCCAACCTTCTGTTCAGTGTGAGGGTTTACCGATATGGAGCCAATCCCATATCTAGCCCAAGTTATCCTCATGGAGTGTGAAAAACTCCCACATGCAAAATTTAATATTTATGTTTGGATTTACCAATGTAGTGTCAATCTCACATCTAATCCAAACAGCCTCATGAGTGAAATACCACTCACAGACAAATCTTATATTTGGATTTATCGATATGGCGTCAATCTCATATCTAGCCCAAACAACCGTATGAGTGAATTATCACTCTCAGACAACCTTTAATAATTATTTTGGATTTATCGATGTGGTGCCAATCTCACATCTAACCCAAACAACCTCATGAGTGAAATATCACTCCAGGCAACCATAATAGTACGTGCATAAACCATGTATGTCAAGATAATAATAATTATGCATCATAACTTTATTTTGGATGCAAATAACTGTCACCATAAGGCGTAAACTGGAGGAAAAATAACTGTCACCACAAGGCGTAAAGAAACTAACTGTAATGTAGCATATATAAAAAAAATGCCGGACATCATAACATAATGACTCTCGAACACCTATCCGAATTACGTATTTTATAAATACTTTATTATCTTTGACTGAAGACCTTTAGTGAGAGGGCATGTAACAATCTTTCTGTAACCGGGGAAATCGTAAAGGCACTGCCCCCATAAACCAGAATGGATTTTCATTAATGGTTCACTGCATAAATTATCTGAAAGAGTGAAAGGAAGTTTACAAGCCTTGCCCATTTGACAACTAGCACAAGTGGAGTTTGTTTTATTCTTGGATGCAAGGTCTATAAATTTATTTTGGTGGAGATGCTGAATAATCCGTTGATGAGGATGCCCAAGCCTTTGATGCCATCGTTCCTCAAGGACTTTCTTATGCCTGTTTGAGAAAAATGCAGCCTTTGTATTATTCAGATGACCTGTCTACTCCCTGTTGGCACCAGTTGACCTGTGCTCCTGTCCTTAATCATAAACCAGTAGAGGAAAATTCAAATATATAAGGGAATTCAGATGTAAGCAAACTAACAGACAAAATATCTTTCTTAATCTTAGGAACAAGCAACACATTCTTCAAATGAATAGATACATTGATCATAGTCCCACGGTATGATTGAATCCACCGTCATATGAGAAAAGTGCTAAATAATTGCGGTGTTAATATTGAAAAAGAAGTTTACCTTTCTGGCCGTGGATTAAAGCTCGAAGTTGTCATTGGTGTCGCTGGACAGAGACGAATAATAAGAACTGGTGAGACCATCCGCCGAGTTCGTTTCTTGGTGATCACAAAATCAAATTCTCATAGTGGAATAAGGATTATCAGCCATGGAAACATGATGTTGTCCCAAAGTTGATCAAATTTATTGAATCAAGATTTTTCACAATTTTCAGAGAGGTTCATTTCAGCAATTTTTTTAATTTTTTATTCAATCAGAAAGCACATGCCTTATGCCTTGTGAAGAAGATCAACAGTGATTCGGTTAGATAAAGCTCTGTGGGCGTGCCATGTGAAGAAGATGAACAGTGATAAAAGGAGTGTTTGGCCGTGTATTATTTATAACCCTATTTGGTACCTGCTTGGTTGTAGTAGCCCTTAACAACTAAGGGCATTTTTGTCATTTCGTGTAAATAAGGGCACTATGGTCCTATAATTTCATCACACGCATCACGTGATCGCACATGCTGTTTGTAATGGTCAAAACTTGCCTATTCTTGTCGGAGGGGGTCATCCGCAACAAAATTGCATAATTGGAGGGGTTGATTGTAACTTTTGTAATTTAAGAGGTTAATTGTTGATATGTCAATAGTTTAAAGGAGTTTTTACATTTTACCCAAAAATATATAAAAAAATATGTCCATTCAATGAAATTTTGTCCCCATTTGTTACACAAATTTCATGGATAAAAAGCAAAATTATCTGTTGTGTAAAAATGTTGAGAAAAGGCTGATATGATTCGTAGAAGAAACATACTAATAATTTGGTATGCATCAAATTTCTATTCATAAAATATTGGAGACAAAAAGTTTATTTAACAATGCATTATACGATATTCAAGGGTATTTATTTATATGTGATGCCTCCACTTAATGCACAGTTAAAGATTCTCAATTTATCTTCATACATGATATAAATGGGTAATATATATAAAAACATGGTTGTGCATGGGGTAGGGATTGCAAATGTAAAATACCTTGGGATCTTGTATAATTTCTCTGAGTGACCTCGTATTATGCAAAAAATTATGATTCAAAATTTAAAAAAATTACTGTTACTGATCCGTATTATATTTTGATTAAAGCTTCATTCTTTTAAGCCATTCCTTATTTTTCAACACCAAACAGTATTTCTCAATAGTAAAGAAAGAAAATAAACTTTGGCCTCCAAAGGAGAGTGAAGCAAAGTAATTTTTATTTCTCCATATGGGCCATATCTTTTACAAATTGCATTATCTCTAATTTTTCACCTTTTTAGAATAAAGTTAAAAAATAATTTGTGGTGGAAACTCTTCGAAAGAAAAAAATGGGTTCTTCATGCAGACTTCATCATATGAGTCGATCAACATGACCATTTTCGTAAAACCGTATAAAGAATTATTTGTATTAAGATTCATTAATATTTTGAAAAAAATTAATAAATGAAAGGTTATGTTGGATACATTACAAATACTATATGGGTGAAAGAGCTAATAAACAAAATAATTACAAAAAATATAAAAATATTCTTTTCATCTAAATTGCCCTCTTATTTTTTAAAACCTCTTCATCTTTCCGTATTTATATACAGGGAGATGACACGTGGATAAAAGTGAGCTTGTAATTTTAATTAAAAAATTTAAATAAATTTATATGTGTGATATATGTGTGTGTATATAGTTTAGTTTTCTTCCGTAAATAAAATGAAGTATATATGTAGAAAAATGATTCATTCGCAAAAACATTGTTATCCATTTATAAACTTTCCGTATTTATATACAGGGAGATGACACGTGGATAAAAGGGAGCTTGTAATTTTAATTAAAAAATTTAAATGAATTTATATGCGTGATATATGTGTGTATATAGTTTAGTTTTCTTCCGTAAATAAAATGAAGTATATATGTAGAAAAATGATTCATTCGCAAAAACATTGTTATCCATTTATAAACGTTAAAAAAAAAAAAAAACAATTGTTAAAAATTTATCTTCAAAACAAAATGGCAGAACAAAATATCTTCTAAATATGAAATATAGGTGGAAAAGCCTTAATTAATGGTACTTTTCTCAGTTAATCCTCCATCTGATGGCTGGTACACTCCATTTAGCATTTTAGAGTTCATTCTGCAAGATTCAATCTTTACATAATTTAGTCAAATTATTTTGCTCATTTAAAATAATTTCAACTTGCAAGATTATTCAGCTTCAATATTGCCGCAAATAAGTAGTGATACAAAAAATATCTGTAACATTTTTTGAAATTTCCTTTTTAGTAAAATCCAATTGTCTCCATCCAACAAGTAAACAGGGTTCATTTTCAAATTCCAAAATAAGGAATTTACACCAGACATACCAATTCATTTTTTTTTTTTTTTTTTCCTTTCCTTTTTTCCTTTGGACAATTGGACATGAAGAAAAGACCAGAGTTCAACAATGAGAGAGGATGCAACAGTGGAAGCATATAACATAACAACAGAACTACTCAACCTTGTGATTTATCAGATTAACTAGAGGCTAGAACATTGGCATACATCCAAAACACTGGAATATTTTTAACAATGGAGGAACACTAGCACAACATTCCAAGGTGACAAAGTGGGAACACACAAATCTCAGTAGAACTACTTTGGCAAGAATGACCTTGCAGATAAGATAAGCACACATTGCTAGGTAAATTTCAGTGTCTCTCCGGGACCATTGAAACACCAGTCCCATATGCTTCACCACCAACTACGCGTTCTTCAGAGAAACAATCCCTTGCTCGTTTTCACCAAGCCACCATCCTTATCCCATCTAGTCAACCAGTTTCATATAAATTCCTCTGGCATTCTTCTTGAGTTCCCCAACATCACCCAACTCAGGTTCTCTCCTTCCTACTTCTCAAGGAACAATAATTTCACCCCAAACACATGAAGGAAACACTGATGCAAGCATCAATAGACACACTGCAAGGCAGCAAAATTTGAAACTTTCGCCTATTGAAATCAGAAAAACCCAACAGAGATCACAGAAACTTATTGAGCATCTCCAAAACTGACTCATCCAATCCACTATTATTTGACATATTCAATAACAGGGTCATAGTACCCGCATTAGTAGAGAATCCCTTCTCAACCATTTCTTGAATAAGTTGCATTGCCCTTAACATCTCATTGTTTCGAAGAAATCCCTGGACAATTATATTGTAAGTTAAAGCATCCGGTGAGCAACCACTCTCTTCCATTTTCTTGAGCAACATGTTTGCTTCGCTTAACAACCCTTCCTTACAGAGTCCATTGATCATAATAGTATATGTGCGAACATTAGGTCGCAACCTTTTGGAAGAAAGACTACAAAAGAGTTCCCTTGCAGCTTTAATGTTTCCAGCTCTACACATACCATCAATGAGGATAGTGTAAACCACAATATTAGGATGCAGTCCACTTTCTTCCATCTCTCGAAACACCACCATTGCCTCAGCAAGACATTGGTTTTTACACAGTCCATCTAATAAAGTACAGTAGGTCACAAAACTAGGATGTTGGCCACGGGCTTGCATCTCATTCAGAAGTTGTTGCGCAACTAAAAGTTTTCCCACATTGCAGAAACCACCTATAAGAGTGTTGTAAGTAACAGTATTAGGAACCAATCCTATCTGAGAAATTTCGTGAAAAAGTCTTAGAGCCTCAGCCATTCTTTGCTTCTTACAATATCCATTAATCAGGATGCTATAGCTCTGAACATCAGGTGCACAACCCCTACCAACCATCAAATCAAGTATCTTCTTTGCCTCATCAAATTTGCTTTGCAAACAATATCCGTCCATCAGTGCACTGTAAGTGATTGTATCAGGCTCCACACCTCTTTGAATCATCAATTCAACTATTTCTACTGCTTCTGAAATCTTCCCTTCCTTACAAAGTGCATCCACCAATATAGTCAACGTTTTTGCATCTGGTTTGATTTTTTGGTTAACCATTTCATTCAACAATCTTGTAGCCTCTTTCCACTGGTTTGAATTGCATAGGCCGTGGATTAAAGAGGTGTAAGTGACAACTGTCGGTGAAATGCCTCTACGGATCATTTCTGAAAAGAAGTCAAAAGCCTCAGCTACCAATCTGTCCTTGCAAAGACTGTCAATAATCATATTATAATCAAAAACATCAGCTACCCAATTTCTCTTTTCCATCTTCTTAACCAATTCAATAGCTGCGCTGGTGTTCCCTGTTTTGCACAACCCATTTATAATGGTTCCACAAGAAACCGTATTAGGTCGAAATCCTTTTGCCCCCATGTCATTAAACAACTCTACTGCCTGACCTATTTTATCCTCTCTACAGAGTCCCCTCATTAAAGTGGTGAGCATTGTACTGTTCACTTCATAACCAAGCTTCAAAGTCCTCTCTAGAACAGAAAAACCCAAATTGACCCGATTCAAATGGCAGTAGCAATTCATCAAGATGCCCAGAGTATAAGCGTCTGGCTCTACCATTCCAGAGGATTCCATTTGATTAAGTAAAGAAATTGCAGTGGTGTAATGTTTCATTCTCACAATGGCCCCTAACAATTTAGTAAAATGCACAATTGAAGGAAGAGGTCGCATTTGAGACATTTGATCAAACAGTGAGAGTGCATCATTAAGGTTAGTGAACTCAAAACTTATTTGATTTCTGACAGACTTAGTAAAGTTAGGTTTTTGATAATTACCAGTTTGGGAATGGAACGAAGACCTTGAATTGTCTCTAGCAAATGGATAATCAATGAATTGATTTCTGACAGGCTTGGTAAAGTTAGGTTTTTGATAATTACCAGTTTGGGTATGGAACGAAGCCCTTGAATTGTCTCTAGCAAATGGATAATCAATGAAGAAATTAACACAATGCTTAAAAAGAGAAGTTGTAGACATACGGGTACCTTTGTGGAGAGAGAAAGCACCAACAACACTTCTTTTAATCATCTTAGAGAAATCCCTTCTGTGTGCGCGGGGGTGAAGCTGGTTGGGTTGGCTACATGTTTCGGCACCTGAGACTTCATTTAAGACAAAAATAAACTTGCTAAAGAGTGTCATGTTTGGAATCATGACTCACAAAGTGGAATCGTGACTCACTTTTATGGGACAGATGGAACTATATTTAATGAAAAAATATATATATATCAACAAACAAATATTTAGGCACGAATCTAATAGCCTGCTGTTAGAATGATGAAAACACTTTTAACAATATAGTTATTATAAAATTGTTGTCAATAAAAATTATGTTATGTGTATGGTAATGCATTTTATAAAGCACTTTTATACTTAAAATATGTATAAATTTATTTGGTAACAATGTTGTTTAAAATACTTTTATTATTAATTTAGTATATTATAATGTTGTATGATATTAAAGTGAGTGATTCATTCAAATGGCATGGTTGTTGGTTAACATTACGTGATTACGGGTTATAAAACTAATTTCAATATATGTTACAACTAGAAAATGGTTTAAAATTTTCACTCTATCCATGTTATAGTGTGCTTATTAGGTACTCCCTCTGTCCTAAATTAAGCGTCACCTTTGGGAATACTTAATTTGGGACGGAGCGATCGACTTCAGTTGGTTATAAAGAAAAGTGAGATATTATATTATCAAAAATAATTACCTAACTCTACCTTGAACGTAATTCCAAAAGCTATGATTTCCGACTTCACCTAAATACGTTTTTTTTAAAAAATCTCTGCAACCTAAACACACTTTCTTTAGTCACCAAACACCTCTAACCACAGTTTTTTAAAACCAACGTGGTTTAATAGGCATAGAAAATTTGAAAGAAGATTGTATGAAGATTATATGGTCAAAATTTTGTCTACTATAATTCTTTTATAGTAACACTATTTTTTAATCTATAATTATAAATCAAAATTTCTTGATTATGGTCAAACTTATTCCAATTTTAAAAATTATAGATTCCCTATTCAACCATCCATTTAATTCAAAATATAGACACTACATTAATTGTAGAAGATGATTGACATTGCAATATAACAAAATGAACACTCCCCTCCTCTCTAAAGCAAAACAAAACCACCTCGAAGCTAAGAAACAAAACAAGAATAAAAAACGCAGGAGCAACTTTGGTCGCTTCATGGGCTGCCTGTTGCATTCATGCAAGAGGAACATCTGAGCATGTTTACCTTCCAGAAAATAAATAAATAATGATCCGAGCATGTTTGTACAATTCAAGATCACTCTTGTACAAAAAAGATTAGATGTTAAGAGTCCAAGTAAACCAACTATTGCTTTAAACATCAGTCTTAATGCTAAACAACTTCCTAATAAACCGAAAAATGTCTTTACAAAATCTTTCGTTGAATGGCAAAAAAGCCTCCTACCAATAAGGTGAAAGCCCATCTTCATTGCAAATTATGCACCATGCTCATAAAAAATTCCTTCAAATCCTTCTCTTTGTAATGCCTCTCAAGCTATCTTTTCACCGGCTCTTTTATTAGCTTCCTCCATTTCTGCAAGACTACAGTGACTTGATTGACTGCACTTTGCATTTGGAGTGGGAAGAAACTGACAGCTTGTAAAGCATAATTTAATTTGGTGTGTTGGTTGTAATTTGTTAACCCTTTGAACTTGTACTTTGGCTTTTACCTTGGATTAACCTTGGTTTTAATTGAATGATAGCACGTATTCTTATAATAAAAGGAGTGATGAAAAAAAAAAAAAAAAAAAAAAACTATTACAAATAATTTTGTAAAAATTACCGATTTGACTGGTGGGTAGAGTTGTCACTTGTCAATGCTGCAACACCATCTGCAGCAGCCTCAACTTGGCGAGGATTCTGCTTTGTTAGACCTTCTAGTGTAATTAACACAGAACACCGTAACAAAGAACTTGGAACAAGCACCTGCGCTTGAAAGATAGAGCATCCAGCAACCAACACGATAAAAGCATCAAATACTTATGAGCCAACTATGAAAGCATGAAACTTCCTGAAACAGAAAGGGGAAAAAAAAAAAGAAAAAGAAGCAAGCAGGTGTTAGAAATCTGCAGCCAAAAGCCTTAAGAAAACAGTACCTCTGGATGAGTTTTGTTCTGTTCTCTATGAACAAAAGCTAAATACCCTTACCGAGAAATGGCTCTGACTATAGATATATTAATATGATCAACAGAACCAGCAGAAGTTGTCTTTTTAAGATAAAATGAAATGCTAATATTAAGTTGTTTCAAATATGGTTTGGAAGAGCAAATGACTTTTTACATAATTTTATTCTCTGTGGAAAAATAATTTTCCAAAAAAATCAGAATAAAACAAGCACTATAGAATGATTCAGAGTACATATTATTTTTATTTTTTAATTACAAAATATGCTCAAATAGTAATATTGCTCATATTCAAAAAGTTTATATAGTTCAATAATTATTTTTAAAATGATCACAATTGGACAAGCTTGCATTTTTACATCGAGGCCTTTATTCAGCATCAATGAGGTCAAAAAACAAAAATATTTCTAGGATGAATAGTAATATATATATATATATATATAGGGAGAGAGGGAGGGAGAGAGCGAAAGAGTATCTCAAAGATCCTCACATAGAGATCACACTGCAACCATCTATAGGCCATACATACAGCACACTGCAAGGCGGACAAAATATGAAACTTTCACCAAACATAAGGAAAACCAATAGAGATCACGGAAACTTATTGAGCATCCTCAAAACTATCCAATCCACTTTTGTTTTTTTATAAATTCAATAACAGGGTCACAGTACATGCATCAGCAGAGATTCCCTTCACAACCATTTCTTGAAGAAAAAGTTGCACTGCCCTTAAAATCTCATTCTTTCGAAGAAATCTCTATACAATTATATTGTAAGTGAAACTATCTGGTGAGCAACCACTCTCTTCCATTTTTTTGAGCAACATGTTTACTTCTCTTAACAACCCTTCCTTACAGAGTCCCTTAATCGTAATATTGTATGTGCGAACATTAGGTTGCAACCTTTTGGAAGAAAGACCATAAAAGAGTTCCCTTGCGGCTTTAATTTTTCCAGCTCTGCACATACCATCAATGAGGATGCTGTAGACCACAATATTAAGATGGAGTCCACTTTCTTTTCATCATCTTTAAGCTGGATTTCTCATAGCTAAACATTTGCCCAGAAAGCTTCTCATATGTCTATTAAGCTTGCTCATCTAACACTCGTTTAAGACAAGTAACATCAGACTGTTCAGACTTGCAAAACATCAAAGAAGGACGAAGAAGCCCACCCAATGCTCACCTCACCATCAATTAAGATTTGAGTAAGAAACAGAACTGACACCACGCATAATCATTAACCGAATAATCTGCAAAACCTTTCTTCTCCATCATACCTTTAAAAAAACTCCACTAGACTCTGTCATATGCCATGGTCATATCCAATTTTAACTGATCCTGTGAAAGAAAGATCTTCTGCCCGGAGTAATGAGATTTAGATATGTTCCAGTCCTTCAAAGTTTCCCTACAGTGTCTTAGTTTCTCTTTCAATTCAAACATATTTCTCTTTCAATTCAAACATAACTGACCCCCGAACTGGATTTTCCCATACCATCTGCACCATGGATTTTGAAATCTCTATCCTTCAACCATCAAGCACCAAAATGAAACTGTGAGTCCCCCTCTGTCTAATTTTTCTCATTAAATTTTAACAACAAACCTCTGTGATCCGATCCTGTAACAGTAAGATGGATAACAAAAAAATGAGGAAAAGAAAATACAAAAAGAAAAGTAACCAATAAAGATAGATTCCATCACCTTTCATTTGTGTTGGTTAACTGCACTAATTTGTTGGCCTTTAAGCATATAACAAGACGCAATATTTAAAAATCTCCCCAAGGTTCATTACCAGGTGCAAGTAAAAAAAACTCGAACCGAGTAATGTGAGAATGTTGGTTCGAGTCCTAAAATAGTCCATGTAGATGGAACAGACACAGGATGATTTCACAAGTATTTTCATTATAGTTTACTGAGTGGCATGGGCATGGGAATTATACTAAGAGCCTTAATTTGTTAGAGCCAAGATGTCCAAGTGCATGAATGGAGTTTAGAAAGAGGGATTCTTTTATTTTTTGAGGGAAATAGGAGGCAATGACGCATATGTTAGGGTTCTATCTATACCAAGTCATCAAGGGGCTAGGTTGGGTATACAAAAAATTTGAGATTCGGAAATCACTTGAACTTTCGATAACTAAAACAATTAAGAGTTAGAAAAAGGAATAAGCTACGGATTGAGCTTGTGCCCTCATATAGACATTCCCTTTGAAAAATATAAAGAATGATCTGGTGACACTGCAAAGTGAATTTGGTAAGATGAGAAGCAGTGCATGGTAAATTTAGAAGATACATCATCAAACCATAATAAATTAACATATTTTAATTATTAAAAATATTTAGGATTTCAGGAATAAAATGTTTGCACCAATGATGTAAGAAACTGACATATTTCTAGGATGAATAGTTAGAAATATGTACATATTCACACATATATATATAGAGAGAGAGAGAGAGAGAAAGAGAAGGAAAGTACCTCAATGATTATTGAGAGAGTGAAATCCGTACACAAATCTGAAAGCTCATCAGGAAAAAGTGTGAAGGAAGCAATAGAGGCCGGGCATGGATGGAGAGAGCTGATGGATTGGAAAGGGATGCCGTTCCTGAAACAGCCTGATAAACAAAGGCAGAGCAAATGACGACACATTGTTTGGCAAGTTTAAGAGCTTTATAACCTGTATCTCTTTGTGAACATTGAAACCATCATTCCCATATACTTTAGCAGCAACTGTGCTTCGAAGAAATAATCCCTTGCTTGTTTGCACCAAGCAACATTCTTTATATCCCATTTTATCAAGCAGTTTCATACCAAGAACTCAGGCATGCTTCTTAAGTTCCCCAATATCACCCAGGTTCTCTCCTCTGTACTTCTCATGGAACAATGATTTCAACCAAAACATGAAGACGACTCTGACGCAAGATACAATATGCAGCAAGGCCAACAAAATCTGAAATTTTCACCTTGCATTTAAAATCCCATTGACATTATACAATCTTA